GATTGTTCCAAAACCACCCTCATCTATGGTCATCACCTCTTAGCAGTCAGTAAGCCTCGAACCTGCCAATCAGAGTTCTGTCTCTACTTGATCCATCATTAACATGGGAGAGGTTCTGATAGAAACTGCAAACTGGAAGAAATGACTATGATCTACCTGAACCCGGAGCAGGACTACACGAACTCCTTTGAGCCTAAGATTTCTCATAAGACTGGTAACATTTTATTGAAGATAAATTTTCAGATCATAAATATACTCGCAGTAATAGAATAAGATCAAAATGAGAGTAAAGCCAATAAACATTCCTTTCCTTGTAGTTATACTAAGTAAAAGTTAATGTCCATGGGTCATAAAATAAATAAATAAATAAATAAATAAATAAATAAATGTAAACAAACAAACAAACAATAAATGAAGAAGACTAAGAAAAAAGATAACTAACAAAAATATCCTTAATAGTGACTGGCGATAGCAAGGCTCAGCGGCTACAAGCTACTTAGGCAGAGTCACAGTGTTTGGGATCCCGGGCCTCACTCTGAAGCTGAACCCTGAGAAGACGAAGGGAAAGACGCACAAGGATGTGATCACCTCCATGCAGACCCTCTCATCTTCATGGTCCGATGTGACATACTCCATTACTATAAAGAAACTGGATAGCTTATTAAGACTGGGAGGCTACGTGTGAATGTATGACGTGAAGAACTTGGGTATACTTTTTCTTATCTGCAAATGAATTATCCTAGGAAGGTGTAGAACTCAAGGTCTAAAGAGATGTCTCAGAGATTGAGAGCACTTGTTGCTCTTCCAGAGGAACCAGGTTCAGTTCCCAAAATTCACATGGTGACTCACAACCATTCAAAGCTCCAGTTTTAGGGGATCTGATGCCCTCTTCACGACTCCATGGGCACCAGATATGCAAGTAGTTAGTGCACATAGATACATAAAAGCAAAACATTAACACATATAAAATAAATATTTAAGAAATTAAAAAAATTTAAAGGTGTAAAATTGATTGAATGAACACAAAAATTCTATTTTAAGAATGAGTTGGGATGTGGGAACTGAACTGAAACGTGAAATGATTTGGAAGTACAAAACGATGTCATGTGGACATCATGTGCCCTTAAGCCTCTATGAGTGACGTAATGTCACCCATGCCACTCACTGTTCATCATTAAGGGAATGGTGTTCGAAATGGTACTATCTTGGTGGTCATTTCTGTTACACCTTTACTTTTGTTCAGAATATATTTGTAAACAACCCTTTACAATCCGTTTTTCTGTTGCTGTGAAAAAATAGGCTGAAAAAAGCAACTTAAGGATTTATTCTGGCTCACAGGGTTCAGTCCATCTTGGCCTCGAAGTAAAGGAAGCAGAGGCATGAACTAGCTGGTCATACTATATTCACAATCAGGAAACAGAGATCCATTTCTCCACTTACAAGGTTTAAGACCCCAGGCAGGGAATGGCACCACCTACAGTGGGCAGTCCTTACCTCAATAAACTCAGTCAAGATAATCTTACCTAGACATGCCCAGAATCCTATCTCCCAGGTGATAAGAGATTCTGTCAAGCTGACAACTATAGTAACCATCACAGACTAGAAGGTAAAGCTATTTAGTTGTTTGTTTTTTTCTTTTAAGTGCATAATCCTTCCACAGTCTGGTCCCAATTTTAAAAGGAGGTGATGAAAGAGGTAGGCCTTGGCTGAATGATGTTTCAGTAAAGTACTTGTTGTGCAAGCAAGAGATCTGAGTTCCTATTTCTAGCACCAACATAAAAAGCTAGGCATGGTAGACTAGATCTGTCACCCCTAGTGCTTGGGTAGAGACAAGAGAATCAGGGTGCTGCCCAGGCAGTCTAGCCAAAACCAAAGAAACAAACAAGCTCTTGTTTCAGGACAAAACAAAAACCTTTCAGGTGGAACAAAAGAAGAAGTCACCCTGTATTGCCCTCTGTCCTTCACTGGTAAGCATTCTACATATATGCCCAAAAGAGTAAAGAATGCAGCACAGTAGTGAGAGGTACAAGCGGACCATTCCTAAAGCCCTGCGCTCAGCTCTCAGTATCAAAAGAAAAGGGAAAGAAAAAGAATGATGGAGAGAAAGAGACAGCATGGACCAGGCCTATCAGGAAGAAAATTAAAATGTGAGGGAAAAGACAGGCAAGTCATCCAATGTCTAATGACTTTAGTATATACTGGAGAGACGTGTAGTTGGCAATTCTTAACTTTCAAAAAAAACTTTTATGAGTCTTCTAAAATAAACCCTTTCCTCAGGAACGTCCATAAGTTCGCTGTATTTAAAGAACTACAGATCTCACCCTCAGACTCTTGGTAAGGATTCCAGAAGCAGAAAGAGCAATGGCAGTCTGTTATGAGACCTGTCACTCATTTCAGGCTCACTACCTTCTTACCATAGACCAGTGAATTTGCCTGATTCCCCTCTAATGTACATACTTTGTTTATCCACCTGTTGACCAAAATTTAGGTTACTTCTCTCCTACCTTTTAACTTTATTTGGGCCTTTAAAAAACTGACATTAAAAAAAAAAAACTCTGTATATTTATGGTGTGATTGACAGGTGTATAAGGTATAAATCAACCTACGTAACATATTCATCACCATATCCGCTAGGTTTTTTTTTTATGAGAACATTTAAATCTCTTTTTGAAATCTTAAAATATATACTAGTATTCTGACACATACTATGTAACAGCTCAATCATTTTTGTTTTTGAGCCAGGGTCTCTCAACATAGCCCTGGATAGTCTAGAACATCCTGTGTAGACCAGGGTGCCTCAAACTCATAGAGATCCACCCACCTATGCCTCCCAAGTGCTGGGATTCAATGTGTGTGCTACCATGCCCACCTGACAGCTGAATCTAAAGGACATTGTATGATATTAAAGAAACTAGATGCAGAAGGACAACCACTCTACCTTCTGCTTATGTGAGGGACTCGGAATGAAGATTCTTGGAGAAAGAGAGAGAGAGAGAGAGAGAGAGAGAGAGAGAGAGAGAGAGAGAGAGAGAGAGGGGAGAACAGAGGTTACTAGAGGGTGGGGACAGAGTGAATAGAGAGCTAGTGCTTCATGGGTACAGGGTTTCTATGTGAGTTCATAGAAGGTACTAGAAATGGATAGTAGTGATAGTTATATCACTGAGTTATGTAATCAAATTTGGCCAAAGGAGTACAAGAGAGAGACAAAGAGACAGACAGAGAGATAGATAGACAGACAGACAGACAGACAGACAGACAGAGTTCCTACAACAGAGAGAGGGAAAAAATGATCTCTCCTAACCGACCACCATGGCTGAAATTCTAGCAAAGCTTACTGGTATTCAACTAAGACTGAGAGAATGAGGAGAGCCACATCTACTCTTTCACTGGGCAGCTGTGACTCAGCACTTTCCTTGGCTTTAAACCAGTGACTACTCAGAGGACTTCCTGAAGGCAGAGGGACCTCAGGAAGTGCTCAAGCTCTCATCAAGTTCCTCTCCTTCATCTCCCGAGCAGACTTTCCCTCACCTTCCTCTGTAACATGAATTGTTAGTGACCTTCAGCTTTAAAATAAAATCTCAAAGAGTAATTACATTCCAAATTTCAAATCCTGCTATAATGACTGTCTTGTGACACCAGGGTTCAAACATGTAATGAAGCTGCTGCAATCATCTTACTTCCCCATTTGGATGGTGGTCCGGAACAAACTCCACTTCCCAGCAAACACTCAGCTGTTACATCAACTCTGGAGGAACTAACTGCCTTTGAAAATAGGAATACTTGTCCTGAGTTAATTGCTTCAATTTTTAGAACAATGTAGCCCTCTCTGAAACCATGAGGCAAACAACAGAATGAAATTGATCACTGGCCAGACGGTAAGCATGGAGGAATAGAATAGACTACATTCTGGAATGTGAGACTCAGTGTCCAAAGCTCATCCAAGATGAAGGGTGCCCCTCCTTTCCACTGCTGCATCTCAGCACCACTATAAAGCTGTCTGCAGGGATATTTCTGCCTGGCTTGACTGGGAAACCTATAAGCCTAGCAAATGAAACAACTGCAACAAAAAGAGTTCTGCTTATATAACTGTAAGCTGTCTTAACTTCTAAGCCCTCTTCCTGGTCCTTCCCAATTACCTTGTTCACATGCGACTAATAATGACATGGAAATCCAACCTCATGAAGTCTGACTCAAGCAAAGGACAATATCTGAGAATCTGGAAATACTGCCTCAGTTTACAAGGAGTCTCTCAATAGTAAAGAACAGGGAAGCAATATAGTTTTGGCTCATATGATATGATAGAAAAATGAAGATCATAAAACTAGTAAAATATACTAAGGAAGAAAATATTCCAATGAAGAAGCATTGGCTACTCTAAAGCATTTATTCCTTTATTTATAAAGGAAAAAAACATTCTTCAATGTTTTGACTAGTAGTCTTCCTCCAAAGGAGTCTTTAACGAAACACAGAACTGAACCCAAAGACAAACAGGATTTCCTACTGCATATTTCTCCAACAATGTAATTGCTTTTAACTGCACTCATAAGAAACTACTTCTCTTAACTTTATTCACAGAAATTGCATTCAAACTAAAATTCAACCTTTTCCATATTTTATATACAATTATAACATCTAACTACTAATTTCTAATTATCTTGTTCATGTCTTGAAGACATTACAGGAAAAAAATGTAGCACAGTAAAACTGTTTCTTCCTCTACTTGGTCATATACTCTATACACTAGTAACATTACACTACTTCCACAGACAAGATTTCATTGAGTTCTCAATAAAATACAAGTGGCAAGAAGCTGTGAAAACAGAGACAAGAGAAAGAAAAATGGAAACATGACTCACGCTGGCCTCTGACAATGAAGCAGTTAGCAGGAGCAAACTTACAGCCCTCCGTCAGCACAGGCGAGGTGCAGAGCCAGTGGGCTGTACTACTCTGAAATATGGGGTGGGGCTACTGACAGGAGAGGACCGGGAATGGACACTTACTCAGTCAGAAGCTGGTGAAGCTTGTGATAACCTCGCTCCAGTGCCAGGCTTACAGGCGTTGCCCCTTCCTTGTTGTGGATGCTGAGAGCTCCACGGCCACCTGGCTTCTGTAACAGGAACCATGTCAACCGCAGCAGTCCAAGCCGCACAGCAAAATGCATCAGGGTTTCCCGAGGGCTACCATCTGTGAATGGGGAAGGACATGATAAAAGCATGTAACAACTACCAACAAAGGTCAAAATCCCACAACAACAGAAAAAGACCAGTCCAGGCAGATACTGTTGCCTTCAAGTACCTAGCATCTCAAAGGTCATCTGTAACAGGCAGCAAACAACTTTATTCCAGGTAAAAATTGCCCTTCATGTAAAAACAAAAATAGGGCTAGAAAAAATACTGTGACAGAAAATTTTCAACAGGAGACAAATACCCACCTAGAGAACCAAGCCATTTCTGTGCTTTTTCAGAGAAGTTGATACAGGTGTCTCCGCTATGCTCTTTCCATTAAAAACAACAACAATAATAGAAGTAATGCAGGCCCTTGGATCTAAGGTGAACAATTTTCAGGACTCAGATGGGTATAACCTGAAGGGTATAATTACTTTCTAAAGAATGCTCAGACAGGAATTGGCTAGTTAAACACTACAAACAGGTTAGACTTGTTAAGCGCACACAGGTCTTTAGTCCCTCACACTAAGGGCATATCAAATTCCTGGCACTACCAGCCTTGTGTTTGCTTAATGAGAAAACGAAATGAATCTTCAGGTACAATGGGATGAACTGTAAGACTACACTAATAACCTTAGGAGAGAAAACAAGTGCTTGGTTTTATTTCACTAGAAATGAAGGATCCTTCTTGGCATACTGGAGTCACTAAGAGTGTGGGTAGGATGAGAAGGGCTTCAGATCAGGCAGAAGTGGGTTCATGCCTGGCCTTAACCACAGGGTGGCTAGGCATGGTTCATTTGCTTCTCAGAGCTTCACTTTCATATCCCTGGAGCAAGCCACTATCCCCTCATGGAGAGCTGCTGTAACAGAGAAGAGTAGGTGAAATGCTAGACTAACTAATGCCTGGTTGTAGGCTTCTCCTCTCTTTCCCTGACTCTGGCCCTGTTCTTGGACTTCGGAGTACATGCTAACTTCACTAGCAACACTCTTTCCCTAGCTCATCCACATGTGTGAAGACAGGTGCTAGGACCATAGCATTTTAGACTTCTTAGATGAACCCAGTATTTTCCTTTTGTCTGAATTTTCAGATGCTTCTGTATGTGGGTATTACAACAGGAGTGAACAATGAAGTGCCATGTTTTTTTTATAAACAATTTTTTAAAAGAGATTTAGTTTCTTTGGGGCTGGGAGACTTTTCATGTGAGTGCAGTGTCTGAAAGAAGAGAGAGCTAGAGTTCCAGGTAGCTGTGAGCCACTAGACCTGAGTGCTGGGAACTGAACTCGGGTCCTCTATGAGCTCTTAACCACTGAGATATCTGTCCAGTCCCAAATGCACTGTTTCCTAACATCACTTGTGTCACCCATAACCAATATAAATTTCATTAAAAGTAAATGGCCTTTCATATTTTTTCTCTTCCAAATCCTATTTATACATTGATCAACTCAGGATTTGCTACGTGCACAAGCAGGGATGGAGACTGAAATCAATGCTTCAGGAGCACAGCTCAGGAACAGAATGCTTGCTGAGCAAACATGTGGGCTGGGTTTAATACTCTGAACTAAACCCTACTCCCACAAGAAACCAGAGAAAACACTGTCCTTGAGGAAATAATTATGTTTCCAACCATAAATTTTAATAAACATAGCCTCCGAGGAAGTGGCAACGCTAGAGAAAAGGCAGAAAACTCTCATCAGGATTAAATACTTCTGACTTGTGCTTTGTGCCTCTCACAAACATCCTGACAACCTTATCAAAGCACCAGAGTGCTAAGCACTTACAGATCAGGAAATATGTGGGTATTTTCTTTTTCCAGAGCTGGTTGATTCCAGCCTTATCAGGTAATATGTCTTTAAAGTAGCTTCCTTTCCAGCCTCTACTCTTTCAAGTTCCTTTGTTCTGAGTCACCATAAGGTGAGTTACCATAAGGCCCAACAACTTAGATTATGGCTGTTTTCAGCCTCACTCCCCATTTTCTACTATCATTTAAAATATATGTAATTCGAAAGAACTATGCAATCACCAGATATTCAACAGTTTAAGTCCTACAATAAATATCCTATCTGCATTTGTTTTATCAACTATCTTTTCTTTCAGATATTCATTCAAAGGAAGCTGAAGACATCAGACTAACTTGATGGGTACCACCAACTAGAATTCAATACTGGAATTAAATGACTAAGATACAGGAAAATACAAGTATAACATTTGATAATTTTTCGAGGCAATGTCTTACTCTGTAGCTCTGCCTGTCCTAGAACTCACTATAAAGACCAGTCTGGCTTTGAAACTCAGAGAGATCTGCCTGCCTCTGCTTCCTGAGTGCTGGGATTAAAAGCGTGTACCACCACCTCCAGCCCATTTGATACCTGGATTGCCAAACTCCCATCAAAATGTAGGACATTATGAACATCAAACAAAGTTCCTTTATGCCCTTTTCTGGGTAAGACTTCATTACTAGAGCCAACCACTGCTTTGAATTTTTCATCTTTTTTGCCTACTTGAAAAGTCCATATAAATGAAATGCTACAGTAAATGTCTTTGTATAAGGCTACTTTCATCTTTCCTGAGATTTTCGATACAGCTGTCACCTGGTGTTCCATTTTATTGTTTAGTACAGCCACTTCATACATACATCTGATTGATTAAATAACCATCCATCCTTTTTCGTATTTTACTGTGTTTTCACACAAGTCATGTGAATTCAAAAGAGAGGTGGCAAAGGGCAAAGATGGAAATGTAAGTAGAATTTTATCCAGGCTGCTCTGCTCTCACAGCATGGAGCTCTGCCGTGACCCTCTACCTCCCAGACTGCTGCTCCTCCTCCTCTCATCTCACGTTTTATAATTCACAATCAGTTTCCATTCGCTGTGGTTCCCCAGCCCATGATTCTTGGTGCTGCTCTGTATTTGGGGAATTATTAAACTTCTGTGGGGTAGGTTGGAGGTGCTTGTGGGTGTGGTGACCAGGGAGCTCCCAGGGTCTATCTTCACCCAGCACTGGTGTTAAAGATGGAAGCCACTACATTTGGCTTTTTACGAGGTGTTGGGATCCAAACTCAGATTGCCATGCTTGTACAGTACGGTTTTTATCCCAAGCCACCTCCTCAGCCGTCAACTTTGCCTTTAGGTTGCTAGCTAGATTTCCTACATTGTCACTGGGTCCTTCATTACAACAGGAATTTAACTGCATCAAGAGCATCAGAATGCCCGTGTCATGTTTCCAACTCTTCATCTTTGTCCTCCTGGTTGTTTCTCCTGTGCACTTAGGGCTCCAAAGTGGTAGTTACTTCACATGACCCGTTTTGGTTGTGTTTCTTTTTGATCACTGTAATAGTTATTTCTTCCAAAGTTGTGATCAAAATACCTGACAGAAACAACTAAGGAAGGAAGCCTTTATTTTGCTCTTGGTATCAGAAATATCAGCCAATCACAGAAGGGAAAACAGCAGTGCAAAGATGTAGCCAAAGCTTATTCACGTGGCACCACATAGAGCATCAGGAGTAGGTCTCATCTCCAATGACCTGTCCTTAGCGATCTCTCCTGCCAGCAAGGCCCAATCTCCTAGAGGCTCCATAACCTTAAAAATAACACTCAAAAAATGTACATCAGTCTAGATTCAAATGGTAACAAGCACACTTAAATGCAAAGGTCTATCGTGGCTTGGTTAAACCACAGAGAAGGAGAGCAGAAAGGTCTGTAAGCTCCAACTGCTGTCTGCTTTCATGCTGGATACACTTTCACAGTGCTGCCCAGAGCTGTAGGAAAGCTCATGTACCCAGAAAGCATTCAACCACAAGGGGTCTGTTGGAAGATTTTAATCTTTTTCAAGTTATATTTCCTGAATAAACGGCTGTGAGAGTGTCTGGGCAGTGAAATAATCAAGGACTGTACTGTTCTATCCCATCAATGAACCCAATAAGCCCGCCTCACAGCTCTGTTTGAACCTGTAGCTGTGAGATTCCAAAATCACCACCCTGTCCACTTCTGGCCTATAGATAAATCTGCAGACCCACAAGAAGCAGTCATCTTCACACGAGGATGCACTCAAGCAGTCATCTTTACGAGGAATGGAAACATCCTTAACAGGCAGAGAAGGGCTCTGAAGAAGACTGAGAAGAACTGTGACAGTAACAAGCTTTGGAGGCAGCAAGCCTTTCAGAGTTTAAGCCTTGCTGCTGGTAGGTAGGTACTGTCTGTCGTAGGAGCCCACAGTTATCAACCCTTTGCAAACAGGGAAAAGTGCAAAGCAATCTTTTTGTGTTTTCTTCTTTTCTTCTTTAGCAAAGAAGACAGCTAGAAAAATAGGCAAAGAAGTATAACAAGGACATACTTAATATGGAAAGCTATCAAACATCCTGAAAGGGCTGTGGGAATTAAATCAACCACATGATTAGGGTTGAATAGCTACTAACCAAGGTCATCCAGTGAGAATGCAGTGCCTGTGTTTAGGGATTCTTCTTAAGTCTGTCATCATTCCCACTACTAAAGCTGTGGGTATGGCTGCCACCCTCAAAGACACTAACACCTCAGTTTCAAGATGGACATATTCACTAGGATGTGTTTCTCCTGGCTTTATGTATAGCAAATATTTAATGGGCCCATTCTGCTCAGAGTGAAACTGATTGCTATTCTACCATGGTCTTCCAGGAGAAATCACTCAACTTACCACTCTCCCTAACCATAGAAACACTGAAGAACTAAGGCAACTAAATAAGACTTAAAAATTGAGGGAGGGGGAAGAATGTCTGTGCTGCACACCTCACCTTCCATTCAGATGAACCTTCATTATCTGCACTCAAGAGAGCATATGCCAAAAATCACAGCGTGGAGGCTTCTTTATATAAACTCAAGATCAAGGAACATGTGGAAGAAATCAAATGGACAAGTGCTGCAGAGGTGGCTCAGTGGTTAAGAACACTTGCTGCTCTTGCAGAGAGCCTAGGTTCAGTTCCCAGCACCCATAGGGCTGCATCTGTAACTCCAATTCCAGGGGATATGATGCCCTTATCTGGCCTTGGTAAACACCGGGCACACATGTGGTACAAACATATACACTCAAGCAAAATACCTGTATCATAAAATAAATGAAATACAGCTGGGTATCATTGTGTTTGCCTTTAATACTAGCACTCTGGAGACAGGAGCAGGTGGATCTCTATGAATTCTAGTCTAAGCTAGTCTGATCTCCATAGTAAGTTCTAGGACTACACAGTGAGGTGCTGTCTCAAACGAATAAATGAGCAAATAAATAACACAATCTTTTAAAGGATGAAAAACATTTCTCCTTGCTCAAAAGTTAAGACTATCTTCAGCAAAAGTAAGAGCAGAGCAAAGCAACCCCACTGCTCTTTGCAGACCTTTCCTCCCAGGGCTGACCATTTATCCTTTCATGAGACTTGCTACTGACCCACAAGGGATTATTAATGTTTTGTACCTTGAAAAGATACTGAGCTAGTTGTCATTGTATATTTAAACAACTAGCCTGCTAACTAATATGCACTACCAGGCTATACTCTTGTCCACTTTATTGGTGAAATAATTAAGCAACAATTAATGTTTTCCACAAACTGTCATAACAAAGCCAGGATATAACGAGTTAACTCCAGTTCCCTTGTTTCTTTCCATTTAAAAACAAACCTCAAGCTAAGCCAGGGCTTCTTAACTTCATGTTCATGCCTGACGTTCAGGAGGGCTGTGAAATTTGTTACATGCAAATGTGTGTGAGTAGGCAGCTATATGCATCTTTTTTCCTGAGGAGAAATAGGAACTAATTTCAAAGGAGTCACTGACCTGGGGTGAGAGTTAGGGTGAAGAGCACTGCACCTCAACAATTAATGAAAGGATTACCATAAATCTTGCATACATACCTCTCTTGTACAGTATTAGAAGTATTACTCCGGAACAAAATTCAACAGCAAGTGGCTCTCTTATATAACAAGATGTCCTGTCTACCTCTGTCTCATCACAGACAGAGATGGTACCAAGCTTATTTCATACTTCTTTCCTTTAAAATATATTTCATAACTATATAAAATGACTGGTATAAACTATATAAAATGACTGGTGCAAACAGATTATTCCACTGCATCCATCCTTTAACAGCAAACATAAGCTCTTACCTTATGTTCATCTACCCTGATCACAACCAATGTTCCTAGATTCTAACAGAACTGAGCAAGCACTACAGACTGATTGAGAGCACTCCAAATCAGATTCATGGTTACTGCCATTAACTTACATACTTTTTAAAACTAAGTATCTTTATAAGTTTTACCCAGTAGATAGTTTAGTAGGTAAAGGCATTTGCCACCAAGCCTGACAAAGTTTTATTCCACAAACTCATGTAATAAAGAGAACTAATTCCCTGCAAGTCTGCCCTGACTCTACATGTGTGCTATGGTACGTATGTATATGTACACACACACACACACACACACAAACATAGCACATAAAATAAATATATTAAATATTTTACCTTACATTTAACTAGTTCAGTTACTTTTGAGTTTTAGTTACTATTTAAAATGCAGCTATACAATAAAATTCACTTTGGGGAGAATTCTGAGTTTTAGCACGTGGATTAGGATCCTATAAGCTACCACTAAAACAGGCTGCAGAATAATTCCAATACGCACAAAGAATTCTCTCATTATAAGAGTATAAAGTCAGACCTTTTCCCTACTTCCAGCTTATGGCAATTACTGACTTTTTAAATGAATTAATTAATCAAGCAATCAATGAATATTAAGTTTTTCAAGACAGGTTTCTCTGTATAGCTCTGGGTATCCTTGAACTCTCAGAGATCTACCTGCCTCTGCCCCTGTACCCTGTACTCCATGCTGAGATTAAAGGTATGAAACATCACACAGCCCAGCAAAATTTATGTTTATTTTCATAATACTTTTTCAAATATATAAACAGAACTATATACTATATAATCTTTGGGAACTGCCCCTAAATTAAGCACAAAGCAATTAAAGTACATCCAAGTCCTTGTACATACCAACATTTTGTTCCTTTTGATAGCCGAGTGATGTTCAAGTTTATGCCATATCACAATTTGTTAGTATGCTCACTCAGAGGGAAGGATGTGAGCTGTTTCCATTTTTTGGTAGTGCATGATTAAGCTGCTGTGGGCACATTTGTTTATAAACATTTTGGTGAGGATATGCTTTCATTTTTTCATTTTTCAAGGGTAAATATCCAAAAGAGGGAAGCTAAGTGATATAAGAAACTACCAAACACCTTCAAAATTGGCATTTTCACAGGCAGTATGCAAAACATGTCTGAACTTCATAGTTTTAATTTTAGCTGCTTCTGTCAATCACTCTGGGTACTATAACAAAACGTGGGCCATTCAAACAATTGGGAAAAAAGTAATTCCCATTTTTCCCCTCAGATATCTCAAACTGACTATGAACTTACTATGTAGCAGAAGATAACCTTGACCTCCTGTGCCTCCTATATGGACTGGAATCACATGTGTGCTTCATCACACCCAGTTTATGAGGTGCTGAGATTGATCCAAGTATTCATTCATGTTAGGCAACCACTCTACCAACTGAGCCACATCTCCTTTGACTTGTGGTTTCAGTTTGTGAACCAGTTTCATTCCTTATGGGCTTAACGTGAGGCAGTAAATCATGGCAGATCAGCATAGTGGAACAAAGCTGCTTACCTCATGGTGATCAGGAAACAGAAAGGGGAAAAGCCAGTGACATAGTATACTACTAGCACACCCTTAGTGATTGACTTCCTTCATCCAGGCCTACTTCCTGACACTTCAACCAGGAACTCATCAATGGATTTTCTACTAATGAGGTTCTTACCCCGTGATCCAAATATCTATCTCTCAATAACACCATTAACTGGGTCCCAAGCTCCCCCAAATCACCTTTGAAATATTTCGTATCCAAACCATTATACTCATTGTTAAAAGTATGTAATGGTATCATCTTGTGGTTCTATATTTTTCTATAATTAGCCTATAAATTAACCTTTTCAAGTATCACTTTATACTGCAGAAAGTCTAGTTGTAGTAAAAGTACACAATGAATTAAAGTCTGCAAGGTTCTTCTGATTAAAGACCAAGAAGGAATCGACTAGAGAAATGACTCAGCAGTTGAGGGCTCTTGCTGGATCTGACAGGACCAGAGTTAATTCCCAGCATGCATGCTGTATACAAAACCTACTGTAGTATATACATACATACATACATGCATGCATGCATACATACATACATACACAGACGCACACATATACATATATAAAACATATATATACACACACAAATATATACACATACATACATACCTGGGAATAAGGGGGGGGCTGTTTAAAAACAAAAAGACATGTAGCCTGAGGCAGAGAGCTTCTGACTTTTGCTTCTCTAAGTATTCTTTTAGATTATGAGAACACGATCAAACTAAGTCCTGGGCACTTTTTAAGTAAGACAGAATAAAAATGTAATGGTAATTGTTTTCACAGTGACATAGAAATGGCAGGATTAGGAACAATCAGGATCCACCAGTAAGAACTCTGAATAGGTACAGAGGATCTAAATATCACATATTTAGAACCTAATGTCTTGGCAGTGCTAAGATAATTTATGCGCTATGTAGGATATTTATACATTTTTCTCAATTGTATTTGCTCTAAGGACAAGAACGGGATGTTATTTATAAATAAGGAATATTTTACTAAAAATATACATATTTGTAATTATAACATTTAGATATCATTTGCTGTAAGAGCAATTATATGGAAAAATCCTTGTCTAATTAGAGGGATTTAATGTAAGTATTTATTATAACAGGGTTTTTTTTTTTTTTTGGTGTTTTGAGACAGGGTTTCTCTGTGTAGCCCTGGCACTCACTCTGTAGACCAGGCTGACCTCGAACTCAGAAATCTGCCTGCCTCTGCCTCCCAAGTGCTGGGATTAAAGGCGTGCACCACCACCGCCTGGCCTTGTTTTTTTGTTTTGTTTTTTTTAAATGTAATCCTTTAGGAACCTTTATATGGAATCATAGAATCAATACCCTGGTCAAAGAATTGCCGAGTTTCTCAATGTTTATCTTGAGCTCATGCTTCCCTGACACAATCCTCTACCAGTGCTTCCAACAACTCCACAGTATTTTTACAGAACCTTGCATACATTATAATTTTGTGAATAAACAGCAAAAGATTACCCTGTTACTCTCATGAAGCCTAAATCGACTGCCTTGCTTGAGCAGTCAGTCCAGATAGAGATGTGCCAGTCTACTTAGGCTATGTTCCTGGAGGGAGAAAATCTGTGCAGAAATTCTAGTTTACTCATTCACTGAAGAGGCTTGAACCACAGTGGTTGTTTAAAAGGGAAGCAGAAGTATCCTAAGGCAGTTTGTAAGTCTGTGAATTCTCACCATGCAAAGTGTGATCTGTCCCTAACACATTCCACTCTGCAGGCAGCTTCAGGTGTCTGAATGCCAGCGCAACCTTCTCATCGAGAGAGTTCACATCTCCAGAAGGAGGTCCTGATCGATCAAGGAACCGTGTGAAGTTCAGAGCCTGCTGATTTCCAGCACTGGTTGCCAGGAACTGAGCTGCATCATAGGCCTCATCCTGGACGAAATGGAAGTCTTCTTCAGCGACTACAAACACAGGAAGGCCCTCTTTGGAAGCACAGAGCAGCACCTTCACTGTCTCACAGCAGTCATGACCTAAAGAAAGCACAGACAGCAAAGAAAACTGAATATACTGATGGAAGAATCCAAGTGGGTCCTTTCAGCTTTTTTAATGGCACATAAGATTTCTCCTTCTAAAAGAAAACCTTCCTTTCCTGATTTCTTAAAATTCTATTTTTGGTTTTCTCACTGTTACTTGCAAATACGAGTGATATCTTTAACAAACAGCTAACGAATATGAGCCTCTGCTTTTGCTGTTCTGGTAACATAGTAGGTAACAAAGAACGGGCTGTATTAACTGTGGCTGTTACATTTGAACAAGTTACAGAAGGACAGCTCTAGGATCTTCTAAGGTCCAGCATGCAATAAGTACTGTAAGTCTTACTGAGTAGAGTTAGGTCTGAACTAAGGATAGGAAAAACAGAGATACGGGAGGAGCCGCATAAATAGCTCCACACCACCATACAGTAAATCAAAGAACGTAGATCAGTCAAAAGGAAAAACTTTCATGCTTCAAACAAGCCAAGGTCCAAATGTTACAGAATGGTTCCTCCAAGACACCATTTACCTGTCCCAACCACTAAGGGAATAAGCATGTCAATCAAATCACCTGGCTCAAATAAAGATGATGCAATGCTGTAGTTACAGGTCCAACTCAGAAAAGGGCACACACGAAGCCGTGTGCTCCCCACTATAGTTCACCAGGCACCACGTGACCTGAGACTACTAAGCAGCACATGCCACTGAATGCTCCACCACAGCCAAACTTTAAAGAGTTACCAACACAAAGCCTCTGTTGGTGTTCTTACAGAACAATACTTTCTTCTGCACACTTTCCTAGCCTTTCAGAATTAAGTATTCCCAACAAGGAGATTGTATTCAACAAACTATTCACTATTTTTCCTCAGTTTTTGAATGCAGTTCTCGACTAGCCAGGTTTATATGTTGCTCCTACTATCACCACTTTGAGGGAGAGAGAGAAAGAAAGAAAATAATGTTTTTTCCCAGATACATAAACAGATTAAGTTGGAAGACAATAGTGCTGAGAGTGGTGTAAGCTATGAAGGTCCAGCTCAAGAGATTTGAGGAGAACAACATTAGTTAGCAACTGGGCTAGATACCGTTTTTGTGATATTTTGGCAAAGAATGAAGCTTCTTTTTGTCCTTGTCGTAGAATCTGGCTGTTTCTGGCTGATTTCACTGGCAGAAGAGATTTCAAGATTTCAATATTCCTCTGCTGTGTAGTATTAGCAACCTCTCTTAAGCAGGTTTAGAACAAAAATGACCCAGCAGGCAAAAAGAAATATAAAATATACATTCCAAGGAGAAAAAGAGGCACTAGGAAATGTTTTGTTAGACCCAAGGCTTTTCCTGAAAAGATAAGGAAAGGCCTGACATGAAATGGAATAAAAAAAGTAGTACCCTTAAAGCAAGACTGGACCCCAGCTAAGCTTTCAACTTGAAACAAGAAAAGGCGTAAGGAATTACCTGTTCCTAAAAAGCAACAACAAATGTAACTCTAAGAGGCAGCTAGGTTCCACCCTAAGCAGGCGGACAAAGTTGGGAGCATTCGCCATAGTTTGAGTCAAGAAAAAGACAGGAGTAAAAGGGTTTTGGAATGTTCTTCCACCATTAAGGAAAGCCACCAAGACTAGGCATCTGGCAAGGAAGGCCCTGTATGGAGGCCCTGAGATACCACTGTATGTAGCTGGGAAACTGAAGCCTGAATTATATCGAAGATGCCAGGACGTTGGAAGTACCAGAGCCATGGGAGGCCTGCCAGGAAAAGTTGCATAGAGGAAGCAGAACCAGCCTGAGAGAAGTGTCACAGACAATAAAGCTGGAAGGGTGGATGCTACCCCCTGACATCAGAGACTAAATTGCAGGGATTTAAGTAAGAGTTTGCCCTTTTGGTTTTTAGTCTTGCTTTGGTCCAGTTTTTCCTCACTGTGTCACCATTCCTCAACTTTTGGAGTGGTGGTGGTGGTGGTGGTGGTGGTGGTGGTGGTGGTGGTGGTGATGTGTACAAACACCGAGTCTGCCTTGAGTCTCAGAAGAGACTTTAGACTTTGAAATGATGTTGAGACTTTGAAAGATTATGTAGACTTTTCATGTTGGACTAAATGCATTTTGCTTTATGATATGGTTACAAGCATATTAAGACCAGAAAGTGAAATGTGGTGGTTTGAATGAGAATAGTCTCCATAGGTTCATATGATTGAATAAGTGGTCCTCAGTTGGTGGGAAAGATTAGGAGATGCAGCCTTATTGGAGATGTGTGTCACTGGGGTGAGCTTTGAGGTTTCAAAAACCCACACCATTCCCAGTTAGTTCTCTCTGCCTCCTCCTTGGTGATCATAATGTGAGTCCTCTGCTACTGCTTCAGCATCATGCCTGCCTGCCTGCTCCCATGCCTTCCTTCAAGGCAGTCACAGACTCAGCTTCTGAAACAGTGAGCCCCAAATAAAATCTTTCTTCTCTACGTTGGTCTTGGCCATGGTGCTCTGCTACATCAATTGAAACGTAACTAAGACACCTCCATAGGCACATAAGTGGTACACATATACGTATGCAGGCAAAACAAGCAAGTACATAAAATAAAAGACAAATCTAAAAAAACCAATAAGTACCTATGGTATGGTCAAAACACTTAAGATTGGCAGAGTATCACTATCAAGCTCAAGATTAGTTTTTAATCCCTGTATCTTTTCAAATAAAATGAAAAATGAAGGGGGTTACCATTTTTTAAAACTAAGAGCTGTGTCATACAGATCTAGGAATAAAAGCAGTATCGGTGCAGATGAACACATAAAGCTCACTACTGTAAACCTGCTCTAGGCAGATGATTGCCGGAGGAGGAGGAACATTAATCTTATGTCCGCCTCAGTCTACTGCTACACTACAAAGGCACGATGGGAAATTATATCAAATTTGATACAGTAAAAACAGAAGTTATAGTGAGGAAGTGCAATAGCAACATTTTTCAACTAGTTTCCATGGTGTTTTTGTTTCCACTCAGTTTCCTGGTAACAAGAGGAACATAATCAGAGGTATTATTTTTTTTTTAAAGGAAAAGTACTGAAATTTTACTCAGTTTCTAAAAGAAGCTATTCTATAGGATTCAGAAACAAAGAAACAAAAATCCCAGAAATGATTGAGGGGAGAAAATCCTAAGTTTAAGTGTATCTTAGCCCCCTATAAGGTCAATTTTGTTTATAATAATAGAAACAGAAAATAATTATGAAGTTTGAAGGATCTGTTACCCACCAAGTAATCTACAGGGAATAATGAAGGAAACAGTAGATTTGGGTGCCAAGTTCTCTTGCAGATAGGTGTGGATATCCTAATACACACTCTGCCTTGAAGACTTTTCTCTGACTATAAAATGTTATCATTTCAACCTTACAAAGTGCTGGAATTATCAGAAGGCTTCACACAAACCACATGGCAAACAGGCACCAGGAACTGGTAGTTATTCTCAAAATACTGCTGCTGTTTAAGTAACATACAGAAAAATAGATCACTAAATTTTGACAAAGTGTTTCACAAGCCAGCAAGCCTGTAAGACAAACTGATGCCTTTAGCACTGCAGAACTGAAAAACTAATGAGAGAAAAGACAAACAAAAACACAAGAAGCACCCAGGTAAGAAGCAAGTTATCTAAGGTTAACAGTCTTCTTAAACTCAGTTAATTCGAGGCCCTGTGGGTTAAAAAGTACATGTGCCTGAGGTTGGGAGCCTCCTGCAGGCTTCTTTCCCTGCAAGCTTTTTATCACTGTCTAAAAGCATCTGCACCCATGGAAACGAAAAACTGCTACAAATAAACAAAAGTACTGAACTATGACCCAAAAATTACTTCATTTCCTGTTAAGCTAAAAGTGGAACACATCCCACCCGGGGCCATCTCTTCTTCTGAGACTAAAACAATCCGGCCTTTGTTTTTATCATCGATCTAAAAAAAATACCCTGAAAGCACTTACTGGACCAGCCCAAGTCAATCCCACACAGAATGAGTAGACTATAGTAGTTAGTGATGGGATATAAACTAGATTTACTACTCAGTTTACCACAGAAGTGTTTAAGAACCTGGTATGGTTTTCTTCCTCTGGAATAGTAACAGTGAAATGCTCAGTGTGCAGACTGCCTTCCAGCCCTCAAAAGAGGATCAAATAAAAAAATATACTCTCTCACACTACCAGACCCTGCAGACTAACGGCAGGTGAACAAATCTGGTGCATTTGTAGAATGTCTCTACATACACGGGAATAACAGAGTGGGAGAAAGACAAGACAAACAAAAATACAACAGTGCACTGTGAAACGGGGCAGGCTATTAAATTCTAAAAGTGTGACTTCTGTATTTCCAGCCTAAACCCTGAAGGCAGTGTTTTCCAACTCTTCTTCCTGTTATCATTACTCCCGGAAGCCATTTTAGCTTTTCCCTATCCAACTCTACCTAGTAAAGTCAGTCTCATTGATATGCCACAGATTTGTTTATGTGTGTATATACTGTGTATGTAAAGAATAACAATCTCTCTGTCTGTCTGTCTCTCTCTCTTTCTCTCTCTCTCTCTCTCTCTCTCTCACACACACACACACACACACACACACACACACACACACAGAGATCCAATTTATACTACCAAATTATATCATCCATGTTGAAATACCCTAGGATTATGGTGTTGTGTTCATGGGTACAAAGTGATAAAATATATAAATGATGTGGATGCCAGGAAGTGCAGGCTGACAGGAGCCTGATACAGCTGTCTCCTTAGAGGTCTGCCAGAGCCTGACATAAACAGAGGTGGATGCTCACAGCTAACCACTGAACTGATCATGGGGTTCCCAATGGAGGAGTTACAGAAGGAGACTGAAGGAACAGAAAGGGTTTGCGGGCCCCATGCGGCCCCATGGGGAGAGCAACAATACCAACCAACCAGAGCTCCCAGGGTCTAAACCACCAGCCTGGGAGCACATAGGGAGGGACCCATGGTTCCTGCTGTATATGTAGGGGAGGATGGCCTTGTCGGGCATAGGAGGGAGAGGAGATGCTTGGTCCCATGATGGCTGGATACTCCAGTGTGGGGGAATTCGAGGATGGGGAGGTGGGAGTGAGGGTATAGGTGGGGGTACATCTTCATAGAAGCAGGAGGAAGGGGGATGGGATAGGGGGTTTCTAGGTGTGTGGGGGATGGGGAAAGGGGATAACATCTGAAATGTAAATAAAGTATCCAATTAAAAAAAAAGAAATAGCAACTGATAACTTTGTAGGTAGAGAAACGATAAGAATTCTTGACTGAAAAAAAAAAAGAATTCTTGACTGAGCAAATTAAAAGCTCCTAGCTTTTTATTTCAAAATACTTCTTGATTTGATAACCAACCCCTGCTCCTAATGAGTGTCTTGGCTCACAAGAAATAAAAATTACATGACACTATAAACATAGGACCACTTTGTAAGATCTAAGCAATGAGTTTTCATTAGCTAAAAGGTACTTGGTAAATACAATAGATTTTTTTTTCATTTCACAATGAAACTATCTTACATATCAACTATCCTTGATAAGTATGAAACAACAGAAAAATACTTAAAGTGTTGAGTCTAATAATTTGATATCAATGAAGTTTGTAATTTTACTACCAAACAGAAGCCTTTGTTTGGATTCTAGAAGTATATTAATAGATAAACTAAAAAGATTTCATTTTATAAATAACCTATACCAAAGCCTTTCAAAACACAGTGTACAGAACATACTAAATCCCTATTCCATTTGTAACCGATAAAACCATTATATGCTTTGTCTAAACTGACTACCAAAAGTGAACCCCCAAACTTTGTTATACATCCTAAGAATACCTTTGAGGTAGATGGCTCAATAAAACTGAAACGATATTCTTCAAGCCGCCATCTGAAAGTCTCTAAATTTTTGTTTACTTATTATACTGGAGGGGAAGAGAGCGGAGAAGCACAGGGAGATCAGAAGACTTCGTATGGAAGTCAAATCTCTCTTTCCATCCTGATTCCAGAGATCAAACTCAGATAATCAGACTTATATAGCAAGCATTTTTACCTTCTGATATCTCTCTAGCCTTCAAAGTTATTTTGAATGGAGCATTTTACTATGAATTGTGGCTAGTCTCTAATGTTAATTATTGCAAAGATGGGTTCAATTTTAAGAATTTGTTTCAAAGTTTTTAAATACTTTTACTAAATGTTACTATATATCATATATAGAATGCTCTTCATAAGGCATTCAAATATCTAAAAACATAAAGAGTAGGAGGGTCTCTAAGTTATTTACCTCAAGATGAACTATATTATATCTCCAGACTTCAATAGAAGAAAAGAAAGCAATAAAAATTGCTTTAAAAGCCTTTACAACTTCTTTATAGTCCTTTTTACTTTTGATACAGGATCTCATGCAGCCTGGATCATTCTTAAACTCATTATGTGGCTGAGGATGGTCTTAGCCTCCAAATATCTTTTTATTGTAAGATTCTTATCAGAAACACACACACAAAGGAGAAAATGAGACAGTCATGGTGGTTCATCCATGTAATCTCAGTGCTCAATGGTGGGACAGCCTGGTAACAGTGAGGTCCTCTCAAAAGACATCTTCCCCCAAAAGACAGACATTAGAAGAGGAAGATGCTTATAACTGTTTCACATGATGCAAGAATTTTCCCCATAATTTAGAAGAAATGTCTCATTTTCCAACCTAAATAAAATATTTGATAAAAGGTTACAGACTAGCATCAAAATGTAGCTGCTTTCTGAAGGTCAATCAATCATCTGGTTTTAGTAAGAACTAAATGTAACAAAACACAGACAATGAATCATACAGAGAACTCAAAAAAAAAAAACATAGCTAGCTATCTGAATAAAGCATGACATTAAAGGGGAGAACAAGGCACAAAGCTTTTTCTTCTTAGAACTCAGATGACTGGAAATGGCAGGGCTCGTCCTTGAATAAGTAGAAAGGGCACAGAGACATCCCTGTCAGAAACACCTGCTACAAAAGACAGTGAGTATTTATCCAGTAACTGCAATGCCAAAGAACTGTACAGACTTCTAGCAAGAATTTTGATTGGCTGACACTGGCCCTCAACAGACAGGAAATCGGAGACTATCACTATCACTGACTGACGCACTGAAACCATCAAAGTCACCTCCGGAAAGAGAACACAGACTTGGTGGCAGGCTAAGAATTCAACTCAAGGAATCAAACTCCTTTTGTAGTTCCCCAAAGAGGGAAGAGTGAAGGGAGAGTAAGACAGGTACCTCTCTAGAATGTCTGCTCAGATGCAACAATGTCCATCAAGCAGCAGGGATTCCTAGAAAAGCTAAACTAGCATACAGTAGTGAAAACAAACCCTTGCCCTCATGAAGCTAGCACTTTAACTGAAATAAAAGAGAAATGGGCTAAACATAACAGTGTATGAGAAGCTGAGTGAATAGATAAAATGTAGAGCAAGGCCAGGAAGTAGGACAGGGTGCAAACACATTGTAGTGTTCTTAGAAAAAGCATGCTGAGGAAGAAGTACCTAAGGGAAGGGAAAACAGAAGTCTAAGACGACCACAAGAGCAGACTGAAACCAGTTTGATCCTAGGTTACAAAGTTAATCCCATGATATGAACAAGATGTTTACAGTTGTCTTGGGTTCTGCACCTGACCCACAGCCTTGAATATCCATCTCTACTCCTCCATTACAAAATGTTGAATGGCCAGGCGGTGGTGGCGCACGCCTTTAATCCCAGCACTTGGGAGTCAGAGGCAGGTGGATTTCTGAGTTCTAGAGTTCGAGGCTAGCCTTGTCTATCTACAGAGTGAGTTCCAGGACAGTCAGGGCTACACAGAGAAACCCTGTCTCGAAAAACAAAAAAACAAAACAAAAAAAACAAAAAAACAAAAAAACAAAAAAAATGTTGAATGAATCCAAATGACAGTAGCTGAAAGAGGCAAGTAAACAAAAAGTCTCAAACAAGATAACCAAAGCAGGGGGATACAGTTGGGAGGCTCCATCAGTTTCTCACACACCATCCAGAGTACAACAAAGATCCACACGTTAAAGTGATGCCACGACCGTCGTACCTACCCTCCTGTGGGTACATGAGAGTCTTTCTGAACTCTGATGTGACTGGGCACTTCCTATCAGAAATCTTAATGAAATTAGGTGAGAGGAGGAATAATGAGGCTACTGAGGAGAGAAAATTCGAATCAGTAAGCATGATAGAGAATAAAAGACTTAGGTAAGGGAAAAGCTGACAAATAGAAAAGAGAAGAGAAATCGAGTAGTCTAGGCTACAAGAGAGTGGATGGGTCAAGAATAACAAAAATATCAGAGTACAATGCTGACTCTGGTTGGATTAGATCACTAGGGCAACAGTATTCAGAATCAAGAATACAAATGGATACCCACAGAGGGTGTGGCTAGGGTGTTTCTGGAAAACACACACACACACACACACACA